AGGCTTAGTATGTGGAATGTGATAGTGTTCATGTTGTCCCTATAACACACAAGAAGAAATTAGTCCTTTCACCTTTCTTTCTTCCTTTCTCGCTGGATGGATTCTCTGTGTGAAAAGTCAAGACAAGAGCTTAATTGACAAAAAATCATGATGAGATAGTCTCTGCCTAAAAGGGGCTCATATGCATGAGTTAACATACAAAAATGTCAGCAAGCATCCTAATATTGTGTAGTAATTCCACATCAGTGTATGCCACATTGAAACTTTATAATAAAAATTATAAAGCAGAAAACTACAAACATTGTGTTACCCGGAGCCTAGGGAAGGTTTCACCATGGCATTTTGTTCTCCACTGGAATTTCATCTTGCTTGGGCCAAAGCGAGTGAAATACAAGGATATTTCGGTACAAGAGAAATATTCTTGGTATGGGGTAGCAAGGACTATGCCAGGGTTGGCAACGTAGTATTAGTTTAGTATGATGAGCGCAATTGCGTATGTTTAAGAAAAGAGAAAGTGCTAAACAAAGAGGAAGGAAAGAAAGGAGGAGAGACCTAGTGGAAATAAAGGCTGGTAAAAATGCAAACTTAATTTTGTATCTTGAGTCAGGGAGCCTAAGTCCCTCTGTATGGAAGGGAGTCACTGAAGGATGGTGAGCTGGGACATTCAAAGTTATTCAGATGACAGCAGAGATGGCTGGCTACTCACCTCCACTACCTCTTGTTAACCTTGGCTTTTGCTCTGTGGTTGTCAGCAGTCCTATTTGCATCTTTAGCCCATTTTAAGGAATCACCCGGTGCTCTGAAACCTCACCTCTGAAGTCTCCCAGGAGGCTTCAGTCCAGAACTTCTTCACCTCTGGTCTAGGACCTCGATCAACACTCAAATGATGCGACCTTGATTTTTATATGCATACTTAACTCTGATTTCATTACTCCTGGCATGGCATCATGCTGTAGTGTGCACTCTGCATACAAAAGTATAGCTAGACTTTAAAAGCATTTCCAACTTTGATCACCCTTGTAGGACATAGCTATTAAGAAAATCCTGCAATTCTAATAAATAATGGTAAAAGAGTGCCTAGATTTTTGGATGTAATTCAGAGAGAGGAAAGAAGCTTCTATTTTTACATTCCTATATCAGAAACTCTGTTAATATATAATGTGCGAATCACAAAAGGCAATGCTGTGTTTTGTCCTAATTAGTAAGAAGCAGCATCATATTGGAAGTAGTTTGAGATTTTCTATCTCAGCATTATTTTTGGAGTGTTTAATTTTTCAGGCACCAGTCAGGTGCTGGAAGAATTCATGGTTAAAATCATATCTTGAATTTTGTTCCGCTGGAACTCATTGTTTGATATTTCTGTCTTTAGTTCTACCACTCTTAAAATAGAACAAAACCCAAACAGCAAAGAGGGGACCAACATGGAGAACAAGGGGAGGTTGGCAAAACAGCTGTAGCAGTTGCCCAAGCCTTTTGTAAATGCCTTTTAAATACACTTCAAGCAGAGTATGAAGAAAGATTTTCTTAAGGGTCATGCCTAGAAACATGGCTGTCTCATTCGTTCCTGTGAATATACTCCACTGAATTAGTTCCCACGTGAGATTTTCCAGGCTTGGTAAAGTGCAGGGTGCCACGAAAGAGGAAAGCCCACAACAAGATGGATTGACACAGCTGCAGCAATGGTCTCAGCGAAAGAACAGATTTGAGGCCGGTGCCTGCTCGGGTGGGCTGTGCTTTGTTCTGTTCTACATGGGGCTGCTGTGCGTTGAACCAGGAACAACGTAAAGAAGATGCTTTAAGAACATTGACAACTGCATTGGTGAGAGAAGGCCAGGAGAGTGGCGTTTAACGATCATTTGTTTGTTTCTTTGTTTTTTTCCCTATCCTGACCATGTATGCGGTCCTTCTTCCAGAGGAGCAAGACTGTCAGGAGAGAATTTCCTTGGGAAACTTTCCCCATCCACCCTCCAGACTTCTTTGTGTTCCCCCAACTCAAAGGAAATTGTAAAGGAACACAATTGGAGGCACTCTAGGATGCTGACACTGCTGTTTTGAAAATGTACAAGTGAAAAAGTACTGAATTGTTTGGGGGAAGGGTTTGAGAAATGAAAACATATTCAGAGGTTTGAGACCTTAATGGACAACTTCTGGAGAAACTGTAGCTTCACATTTTGGCATTTTTGCTCAGTAAAGTTTCTGTGCTCTCATAGAGATACTTTTTTACTTTCCCTGGTATATAAGGTGTTCCATATTGTTTCAGAATAGGTTTGATGAAAATATATGAAGGGGATTCAAAATTTCATGAAAAGAATCCATTATCATATAACTCATTTTTTTCCATGACCTTTTTGAAGCCTCTACAGCACTCTTTTGAGTATTTTAGATCCTCATAATTATTCATTTTCTGTTTACATTTCCAACTCAACAGTTTGACATCATGAAGTTTTAATTTTAAGACATTGATCATCATCCCTGAAGCCATTTGCCCCACAAGATGCCGTGCTCATGGGCCTGGAGTAAGCAGCTCATTCTGTTGGATGAGTCAGGATTGGGCTGGGTTCTTGACTGCAGATAGAGTTTTCTTTGGGCTTTTTATTCCGTAGTTATAAATTCTTAGAATGTAGAACATAACAAGAGACAACTTTATCTATAGATTCCAAGGAATGGTTACTCAGTGCCTAGAATTAGTCTTTGTCTACCAGTTAGTGTTCGGCTGTTCTCTAGCAAGGTGCCACTAGGGAAAGATGTGATGGTTTGTGTCTATGATGATTTACAGCCTTGGAAACCCCATGGGGTCCTTCTATGTTGTTCTGCAGGTGGTTCTGAGTTGGAATCCACTAAGTGGCTTGATTGTTGTTGTTGTTGTTGTTTAGATAAAGATCAAATTCACGGGGTAAATGCAACTTTAATTTCACTGGATTTTTTTCATAGTGCTGAGATAATTATTTGTATATATTTGCACCCATGCTTTCCGGAACAGGGTTCTTTTTTTATTACATACTCCCCAAAATTGCTACTATTAGAATATTATGGCTCTTTGTGACAATTCTATTTTTCTATCCATTAGTGAAGTAGAATATTTTATCATGTATTCCTAAGTAATTTGAGATTTTTTCTGTGAATTGTTTTATAATCCTTTGACTGTATTTCTTTTTCCTATTGATCTGTGAAAATATTAATCCTATGAGTGCATTTTTTCTTATTGACTTACAGAATCATTTATCGTACATGTGTGTATAAGTAATAATCCTTTGTCAGTTATACAATAAGAACAAATAACTTTATTTAACTAAGTGTTCCCTAATGATATATAAATTTGTAATATTGTTAATGATTTTAGTTATGGAGCTTAGATATCATGTAGAATGAAATTGATATTAGTCAGCATTTACTGTTTAAAAAAATGAAATTTGGAATTAAATTTAAGAGAGGTTCTCATCCTAAATTGCAAGTGCTTTCAAAATACGTCCCTTCTTAAGGAAGCTAATTTCAATGATCTGGATTATTTAATCCTGTAAATAGTTCATTTCTAGCATCTACGGATACATGAAATGCCCAAAATTTAATGCACTGGCTTTGAGAACTATGCTTATATTTGATTCATATTTGTAGCAATGATCTCAGTATTCCCCAATTTTTAAAATCTGAAAGTAGAGTTCAAAAGGCCACCAGAAAACTTCAAATGGCATAGTGAACCAATACGAGTAATTCACCCATCAAGCATGATCCACTTCTTGTTTGCCTCGGTTTGGATAATTTCTGTAGACAGAAAGTAATAGATCACTCCACTTAAGGTCCTGTATTCTTCTACCCCTCGCCCTACTTTTTGAAAAACAATATTTGGTTTTCCTGGCAGAAAATCACATTTTTCTAGGAATGTTTTATCTTGAATACTCTGACCTCAGAGAGTATAGTAATTTAGCAGAGTTTCTTCCACTAGGGATTAAAATGGCTGTTAACGTATCCACAGAGGATGAAGATGAGCATAAAGATGAATCAAGCATGAAAGTTCAGAAATGGAAATAGATGAGTGATGTATCTATTTTATGGTCCTTGTAAATAAAATGAATAGTGCTTTTGGCTCTCCTTTGCCACATGAACTGATGGTTTCAAGGTAATGGCTGAGAAAATTAAATTATAATTTTTGAGAATCAGTGAATCTGCAGTATTTTTAAAGTCGTCAGTGTAGCCATTTCAGAACTGCCACGGAGTTTACTCTCCACATATCTCTACAGCTGTTGTACAGGTGTTCCTGTGAAACAAAGCAGTGTCATCATTTTAGAGAATTTCTATAGGTGTATTCTTTCACTTCAAGGAGGCTCAAGTAAATGGAACAAATGTAATTCCTCTTTGTAGTCTCCTTTTCCCCAAAGCCTTTCTCCTAGAACCTGTTTCCTCCATGTCCAGGTGACCGGATCCCTCCCTCAGTGCCCTCCACAGCCATTTCTCTCTGTCTCAAGTCTTGCCTTCTGACAACAGTGAGCTGGGTGCAGTCCAGTCATCAGCACTTGTCTAGGAAACTGGGCAGCTTAAGGGCTGACATTCACCATCCAGGCTTCTAACACCTTTGAGCCAAGTAGCTTAACATTTCATCTAGATAGGACTTTACAATGTTTTCAAGTGCGTCGCAGAGTTAAAAAAGAAATCTTGACTTAAGTGTTGTAACTAGTAACCAGCAGAGGTAGACTTGAACTGAAGCTGGAGCAATGTAAAAGATGTAGTATTAGACATTATATTACATGATTTGGGGAAGGTTTTCAAAACTTTCTCAGTTGTAGCCCATCACTGTGGATAGAACAATTACTTTTCCTGGAGCAGATTCATGACAAAAAAAAAATACATTTCATCTGACCTATCCCAAAATGCCAGTGGTCTGTCTGCTACTGCACCACTAGACTGCTGGAGTGTTGGTAGGGTCTGCCATTTTGCCCAAGGCCTGCAATGAGAGCTTGTGAAAGAAAGATCATCTAATGCACTGCTTGTTGCTTTGTTTAACACAGTGATGCCACGCTTTGCTGAGCAAGTAGAGGTTGCCATTGAAGCCCTGAGTGCCAATGTCCCACAGCCGTTTGAGGAGAATGAATTCATCGATGCTTCTCGCCTGGTCTATGATGGTGTTCGGGACATCAGAAAGGCTGTGCTAATGATAAGGGTACGTGAAACCTCTGTAGCTGGAAATTTATCAGAGCTTCTATCTGGGACCCTATTTGTTTATTATCATTTAAATTACTTAATTAAAAGGGGTAAGCATTTGGTTTTCTCATTAGTTAGACAAGATAGACTCTAAAAAGAATACAGAATTCCATCCAACACCAGATTTGGAGAGAATGTCCCGCAGAACACTGCCCTACCTCCCTCTGCGGACACTGCTCCTGAAATGTGGCTGCCAACTTGAGGGTTTCCTGCCAGCCTCCAGTGGGCCCCTTTGCCAAAGCTGTCTTCCTCTCAGAATCCGAAAGTCTTGGACGGACTAATATACTGACATTATGCAGCTTCGTAGGTTATTTTTATTATTAACACTCAATAGAAAAGTGATTCATATCTGTATTCTTTTTGTAGAAAAATAAAAGAATATAAACAAGAATAGAACCCCTTAGAACAAACTAAAAGCTACCTCCACCTTACTATCTGTCTACCCTCAGACTCTATTTTTCAAATAAATGTAAGCTTACCAGGCCATGGACAAAGTAAATATACGGAGATATGAGTCTACCAAACAACCAAACTCACTGTTGTAAAACATGTGTTGGGCTGCTAACTGGTGGATTAGCAGTTCGAAATCACCAGCCGCTCCTGAGAGGAGAGAAGTGACTTTCTACTCCCATAAAGAGTCACAGTCTAAGAAACCCACAGGGGCAGGTCTACCCTGCCATATAGGGTCACCATGAGTCATGAGACACCAATCTAGAAAGTAAAAACATTTCACTTTTAAGTTCACATAATATCATTTGCAACTCACTTTCCCCATCTGTAATGAGCTTTCATTTGTCTCTGGTAAGACATACTGCTTTCTTCATTCCACCTAACTACTGTATAGCATTCCATCATAAGATAAACTTTTCCTCCTTACCTACCATTAAATATAGTTTTCAAACAATTTTTTTAGCCTCTGAACTAGTTATTTAAATAGCTGTGTTTGCAGAAGCATGATTTATGACATATTTGTTTCTGTAAAACTTTGACGAAAACTGGGATGAGGCCTCTGTGGTGCTAGTCAGTCCAGTAGAGATATCTAAGCTCTACTTGGAATTTAAAATGTGTAGTTGACATATTAAAATATATATATATATAAAGACATTAAGTTAAATTTAATAACATGCTTCATTTAATTCAGTGTTTTCCAAAATGGATGCTACCATCCCTGGGGAACACAGGAGGCAAAGGAGGTGCCTACACTTTATCCCGGAGAATGGGCTATCTGGATATGAGCTAGGGTCCAAATGTTTGTAATAGCTGGGGGCCACTGAACAATTTTTTTCCCTGAAGAATAGGTAATAGACAACTAAATTTATAAACCTAAAGCTTAATAAAATATGTTCAAATTATTATCATTTTAACAGGTTGCAATGGTCACATTTCAAGTGCTCAGTAGACATTCATAGCTAGTGGCCACCATCTGTATTATAAGCTACCCTAGATAGTTTCATCTCACCCTCATCCTAAGACATCAGAGATCACCCTCAGGCTTCTCAATAAAACCAGGAGGGGTCTATCTGCTGAGCACACTTTGAAAGCTCTTCTCCCAGAATTTTCATTGACCATATACAGGCAACCCTGGGATTACAGTCATCTGATTTATGGACAACACCTCTCTACCCTTCAATGTTACACAAATTTCTCTCACTCTGAAACAATTGAATGAATTCCTACATTAAACCATGCTCCCTGCCCTCTGGTTGATTTTAATCCGTTGCTACCTTCAGGGCAGAGTAGAACAGCTCCAGAGGGTTTCTGAGACTGTAAGCCTGGAAGGAAGCAGACTGCCTCATCTTTCTGCTTCCGGGCTGCTGGTGATTTCAGTCACAGGCCTCCCGGTTAATAGGTGGCTGCTGTAACCAGTGCAACAGCAGGGCTCCTGGACCAAAGCCTATTGCCAACACGTTCTTAATCACATGATTTTCATTCGCTACATGTATAATTTTTAAATCATTGAAAAGACTTTGAAAGTTGGCTTTCACTAAAATTCACAAGGATTTATAGAGCTTCTATAGGGCAGAGCACAACGGCTCCAAAAGGTTTTGAAATTGCCAGTGTTTATGGGGAGAGATTTTATCAGGGGTGAGTTTGAACGACAGCCACCTCAATGCTTAACCCACTGCACCACCAGGCACAACCTCCACCTGCTGTCATGCAGTCAATTATGATTAATAGTGATCCTGTATTAGGTTTCAGAGACCAGGAATCTTAGGAGCAGATAGCTTCATCTTTCGCCTACTGTGGCACAACACAGGCTTTGAATCGTGGACCTCATAGTTAGCAGCCCAATGTGGACCTCATCCTGCCTCCAGGGCTCCTCTAAAGCTAAAGAAGAACCCTAAACCCTTAATCTAATTAAGCTATAAGTTCTTCAAGGCATAGTTAGAAACTGATCCTGTTCATAGTCTGAGGACTGCCTGTGTAACAGAACCACTGCCCCCTTCCCCTGAAAAGAATCCCACCCCAAGCCAGTAACCACTGACTGATAGCCTGTGCTCCTTCAAGTCTTCCCAGACAGTATCTATGACAGGCTGTGCACTCCATGATCCATTTATCTAGAGCTTCTTTCACAATTCCTATATGGTGTGAATTCTCCTTGAATTTGGGTATAATCATGATATCTGGTTTTGGTACTCTTCAAAGTTGGTGTCCCAAGCACCAAGACGGGAGAATAATGTCAGCTGAGCAGTACAGAGCGCCTTGTCACCCGAAGACTTGAGGGTTTTCACATTTCTCCGTCACTTGGGATTCCAAACGCCATCTTTTCATCTTTAAGTCAGCTTATTTTTTTGTATCAAATATATCTTCCTTTCATAATAATACTATAACCAACTTGAAATACTCAGAGTATTCCATTAATTATATCAGACTGATACAATTATGCTTAACAATGTGAAATTTGGGGCCTGACAGGTTAATTTCCTGTTCTTCCAACTTTCTCACTTTATCCTTGCCACACATACCATCTCTCAAAGCCTGGCACAAATGTACTTGCCACAAATTTTTTTCCTTTTAAATGACTCTATCCTTTAACCATCTGTAACTATTTCTGCTTGTAATAGTATAGATATATATTACTTATAGGTACATTAGGCTGCTTTAGGATGTGAAATTTCAGAAAGCAAAGGCTATCTCTTTTTCTTTTTCACTATAGTGCCTGCTCTGACACAGTGCCTTATAGTGTATGTGTGTGTGCACGCACACACGCATGCATGCACAGAAGAGAGTGTGAGAGAGAGAGGGGCGGGGGATGAGAGTATATGTTCGCAGCGGCCTACACCTGTGAAGATGACAGAAAGAAAAGAGAATGGAAGGAGACGGAAAGGCAGGGTACTGAGTCTTTAAGCCCATAACAAGTTAGCTCTTTTTTGCCCATCACGTATCAACTTGTGATATAAGGTAATAGACCCTGAGAGTTATGTTTTCAAAGCATTTGGCACTAAATCCCACTGTAATCCTCAAGACATGTTCCCTCTTTTGCCATTTCTCTGCTTTGTTAGCCTCCACATTTGTGTGACAACCATTCATCTGGGAGGCTGAGAAGTTTATGGCCTTCATTCATTTATTCATTCACGAGCTGTAAAAAATATAATTTTAGATAAAATGCCATATCTTTGTTACATGAAGTGTCATTCCTCCATCTTGACATTTCAAATGATTTGATCAGATGAATTTCACACTTAAAATTTAGGAATAGAAATGTACAGTATGTACAAATTGTTATTTTTAAACTTCTTATCCTTTCAGTATCCAAATGGATTCATTTTATACTTTAGCAATTTCTTAGGATTTTGAGTATAATGATTAAGGATACATAAAGAAAAAATCCATTGCACTAAGTGAGGAAGAAAGATAATAAAACTAGTAGAACTACTGAGTCGAGCTGTTCCGTTCCCAGTAAACCTCTCCTCTTGAAGTATCGATTATACTTCGGGAAAGAAAGAACTCTATTTTTTTTCAGGAGCAGCTGCAGCAAGGACCTTGAAGGGTGAGACTCTCCCTCGTACTGCCTGTGGGCATCAGTACATATTGCATGGGGGTGCTGCTATCCAAAGTCCTCCAGGATAGCTGCAGGCAACTCTCTGCAGACAAGAGTCCTGTCCTTCGTGTGGTCAGCAAACCTGACTGATCTCTTGGAGCACATCTACTCTGCCCCTCCTGCCTTTAGGTCTGTCTCCATCTTGGGAAGGTTTGCATTCTGTGTTATGGCAACTCTAAAGGAATTTTCTGATCACTCTCCAAAGTAGGTTGGCAAATTAATGAATAGGCAAACCTGCCAAATCAACATACACATAAGACACAAAGGGCTAAACATTGAGTGTTGATCATTAAGATCAGTAGATTAAGTTCCAGGTGGAAATGTCTTGGTTTTAGGAGATCAGTGTTCAACAAATTGTTGTGTCATTCCCTCAGAGTGAGTCTGAAAACTCTAGAATGATAGTGATACACTGCACGTTTGTAGCTGGAAGCCATGAAACACATTTTTGAAGAGAAGCGGGAAATGATAGGGCCTGGCACGTGGATTTGGATACAGGTATTTCCATGGTTTCTAAACTGCACCAAAGTACCCTAGGGAATTGCGACCTCGTCTAGAACTATGAAGGAAACACAGAGGAATCACTCAGCCGCTGTAAGCGATTAGCCTAAGGTAACTCAATTTCAGCTGCAGGTTCATATATTTCTTTGGAAGAAATGACTTGGGAGGCTAGGTATTTGAGGACAATTGTGATAAAAAGGAAGTTCAGGAATCAGCAGGTCTCCAATTGGATTCCAATGTTTCAGATGTTATGCGATGTTCAACAAGCTCTACATTATTAGGTAACAAAAATATTAAGTTGGGTAGCCCTAACTACTTGAACGATATAACTTTTAGTCTTATGTTTGATTTCATTGTCATAGAAGCATGGCAGAGAACATGAAAATCGTTACTGAGGCACTAAGAGTCCTGTGGAGGAT